ATTTAACTTATATGTAGAGTGAAAAGTGAAAGTTAGTCCCTCAGTTGTGTCCCAGTCTTTGCAACCCCATGGACTATAGCCTGCCAGGCTCCTCTATCCATGGAATTCTCCAGGCAAGAATCCCAGAGTGTGTAGCCATTCCCTTCTCTGGGGGATCTTTCTCACCCAGGGATTGAACCTGGGTCTCCTGCATTGCAGGTGGATTCTTTACCATCTGAGTCACCAGGGAAGCCCCAGAGTCAGGATGTGAAATGCTGGACTGGATGGCTCACAAGCTGAAATCAAGATTGCCGGGAGAAATATCATCAATCTCAGATATGCAGATGATGCCACTCTAATGGCAAAAAGCAAAGAAGAAATAAAGAGCCTCTTGATGAGGGTGAAAGAGGAGACTGAAAAAGCTGGCTTGAAACTCAACTTTCTAAAAACTAAGATCATAGCATCTAGTCCCATCACTTCATGGCAAACAGATAGGGAAAAAGTGGAAACAGTGGAAGATTTTATTCTCTTGGGCTCCAAAATCACTGTGGATGGCGACTGCAGAGATGAAATTAAAAGATGCTTTCTCCTTGGAAGAAAAGCTATGACAAACCTAGACAGCATATTCAAAAGCAGAGACATCACTTTTCCAATCAAGGTCTGTATAGTCAAAGCTATTGTTTTTCTGGTAATCATTTATTATGGATGTGACTGTTGAACCATAAAGCAGGCTGATGGCTGAAGAATTGATGCTTTCAAACTGTGGTGCTGGAGAAGACTCTTGAGAGCCGGACAGAAAGGAGATCAAACCAGTCAATCCCAAAGGAAATCAACTGTGGATATTCATTGGGAGGACTGCTGCTAAAGCTGAAGCTCCAATACTTTGGCTACCTGATGCAAAGAGCCGACTCATTGGAAAAGACCTGATGAAAGATTGAGGGCAGGAGGAGAAGGGGACAACAGAGGATGAGATGATTGGATGCCATCACTGACTCAATGGACATGCGTTTGAGGAAAACTCTCAGAGATAGTGAAAGACAGGGAAGCCTGGCATGCTGTAGTCCATGGGGTTGCAAAGATTTGGACATGACTTAGCAACTGAACAACAATAACTCATATGAGTAGTAGTCTATTTGGAGGCTTGCATTATAATTCAGGCCATAGCCTATATAGATAAATAAATCCCAAATAGATTAAAAAGGTAAATGAAAACTATTAAATAAAGTGAAAGCATATGTAACTAATAAATAAATATTCTTAAAATTTGGAAGAGTATTATGAGAATCTGTGGACACAAGACCTTCTCATGCAAGATAGGGCATTCCAAAGCCACACCAGAAAGGACAGATGTGTAATCACAGTAATGATTACCATATTTCTATGGTAACAAGTTCTTTTAGGTAAAATGTAGAAACTGACCATCAAAAGAAAATGATTTAATGGGAGATTAACATCACATTAATCTAGAAGAAAAAGATGAAGAACCTAATAGAAAACTGGACCAAAGATATAAACAGTCAGTTAACAGAAAAAGAAGTGCAAATAGAAGAAAAAAAAAAGTGCAAATAGCCAATAAACAAACGAGAAAACTACACAATCTGATTAGATGACAGGGGGATTCACATGAAAACAACAACAAAAAAGAAATACTTTTGCCCACTAGAGGCAAAGTTTCAAAAGATTGATGTTGTCCACTGTTACAATGGGTAGAGAAGTAAACTTGCTTAGACATTGGTGGGGACAGGACAAATTCCTGCAAACCCTCGGGAGGGTAATTCAACTTGTCAGTGTTGGTGGTGATGTTCACGCAGGGCTGTGAATGCGGCAGTATTGGTCATCCTATATAATTCCCTGAAGTCGGACATGGTCTTCATATAACTGTGAGAGCAGTGGAGGTACTGGCAATACCTGTGAAGGTTGTGGTGGTGGTAATAACATAACTCTGAGAAGTTAGTCTACATGTTACTCTGCACATTCATCAAAGACTTCACATAGCTTTGCATTAGTGTTGGTGGTGGTATTCACAAGAATCTGTGATGTTGGTTGTGGTCATATTCATATAACTCTGCAGAGTTGGTGGCTGTGGTATTCATGTGACTCTGCAAGGATCTAAGTGGTAGTGTTCATCTTACCTCTGCCGTGTTGAGCATGTTATCAATTATTCTGTGGAGTGGGTGCAGATGGTCTTCATTTAATTCTGCTGTGGTGGATATGATATTCACATATCTGCAGTGATGCTGACAGCATTGAAATGATGTTGGATGTTGTTTATGGTGGTAACACAACCTGTGGTGTTGGTTGTGGTAATCGCATAACTCAGTGGTTGTGTTAGAGATAGCCTCACCACTGGCTGTCTATTCTCATAGCTCCCACAGCTCCCATAGCTGTGATGTTGGTCATGGTATCCACACAGCCCTATCATGGTGGTGGTATTTGCATACACATAATGTGCCATGTGATAGGTGCATTCATATGACTTTATGATGTTGCTGATGTTATTTCCATGGCCCTTTGAGGTTGGCCAGGTGTTGGCATTTCACATATCATCATTGTCGGGGTAGAGGTAGTAGATGATCTGGCCATCCAAGATGGCTGTTTTCTTGCTCTCTGTACATCCACTGCTTGACCAGTGCCAGCTATACCTACACCCTACTTACATGACTGACCTTCCCACATCCTTGCCCCCAGCCCCAGCCAGTGATCATTCTAAGCTTTGGTTTAGAGCATCTCCACCATGATACCTTATCAAATGGGCCATTGCAGACATGCTCCCCTGCTGGTTTTCCCTGGTAACTGATAGCCAATCTGATGTCAGTTCCCCCTATAACTGGTAACCTCCCTCTCCCCCTAGGAGTGAAGACTACTGCCCTGTTCTGCCCGCTGTCTGCTGCATATGGTGGGTTGTTGCTCCAGGACCTTGCTTCAGACATGTGAGATTCCCCCATCCGTTAAGCCATCGATGTCTCTGTTGCTGACACCAGCTCTTTCTTGGGTCTTGAAGCGGGGCAAGTGCAGGGCTTGCAGGCCTGTAGGGTTCAGCCCAACAGGTGATATTCAAATAAAAGTGTGGCAGAGGTCTTGTATTCACATGACCCCGCATCACTGGGGAAGGTCGTGTTCATAGACACTGCAATTCATCACAGTATTCATAATCCTAAGATGTTATTTTGTCATGGTGTTGGCATAATTATGTGGCATTGATATTGTTATTCACAGATCTTGTGAGGACGGTGATGGTATAATTCAGATAACACCAGGACTTGGGCATGGAATTGACACAGTTCTACAGTGATGGTCATGTTGGCATTAACACGGCACTGTGAGGCAGTGATATTCCCATAACTGAGAGAGCATTCACAGAATTCACATTTTGCTATGGTGGTGTCAATGGTATCATATAATTCTGCAGTGTTATAAAATGGTCTTCAATAGCTCTGTGATGGTGGGCATAGTAACTAGCTGACCTGCAGTGGTCATGTCATATTCACACATCTGCAGGGGTGGGCACACAACTTTGCCACTTTGGTTGAAGTAATTACTTCACTTTGTAATGTTGCTGGTGATGGTATTCACATACCTCTGGGATGTGGTTGTGATGTTCACATAACTGTGACAGTGCTGATCTTGACAATCCTGTAACTCAGCAAAGTGGGTCGTGGTCTCCACATATCTTAGTGACAGTGGTCATCATATAACCCTGCTGTGGTGATGATGGCATCCGCACAAATCTATAATTGCGATAGTGGTAGTCATATAATCATGCACTGTTGTTATTTATTTTCTTGTGACTTGTGACCTCGTTGTAGTATACACAACTCTGCAGTGTTGGTCATGGTACTCATGTACGTTTGTGGTGATGGATGTGGTATTTGCCTAAGTCTTCCACTTTGATGGTGGTGGTGGTAGTTATATAACCCTGTGATGCTGGTCTTGGTATTCATGTGATTCTGTGATATTGTCCCTTTAATTACATGACTCTGCAAGGTTGATGGTCATCTTATTCATATGTCTCTGTGACTGTTCATGGTACCCACTTCACTGATGGAGGTGGTGGTATTTAAATAACTCTGACTGGGCAGTGGTTGGAGTAACAGTCACATTTGAGAGAAGTTTAAAGTTTTGCTTGAGGTTATGTAAGAAGATATGACAGAGCCAGGCTCAAATTCAGGTTTTCTGTATAATTTAAATGCAGTCTTTTCTGTACTACACCATGAGGTCCCTTCCTGCTATGTCTAAATTTAAAGTCATTAGTATAAAACATCTGTACCTGCAAACTCCCCCAAGGGCTTTGGAACACGAATATTCTATCTCTTCCATTCTAGTTGTTTGTCTGTAGCTTTAACTGTGGCCATATAGTCACATACACACATACATTCTCATGTATAAAACTGATAAACAAAGTCAGCTACAAATTTAGATGTTAAGTTGAAATTCTGAAAATTTATATTAAATAATTCAGAAGAGGTCTCTTTGGTAAACTAAAATAAAACACCTTTGTGGGTAATCTATAGTTTATTCAAAACCCAAATGTATTTACTAAATAATGAAGTGTGAGGTTGGTCAAAATGTTGATATTATAGTGTTTTCATTCTTTCTTTAAATATTGTAAACTTCTGGAAATTTAGTAAAGGACTAGAAATGGGATATTGGGATGTTGGGTGGTGGTTACATGACAGGTGCATGTTTAAGTGATCATTGAGTTGTACATTTATGATTTCTGCATTTTATGACATACAAGTTATACCTCAACAAAAGTTTCTGAAGATGTATTGCTAAAGAAAGTGAACATGCTGATGGGTTTCATGAAAGTTAAGTATAGTGCCAAATGTAAGCACTCAGGATGTTTTCTGATGGGTGAGAGTTATTACTTCTATAGAAACAGAATGAAGTGTCACCATGAATAAAAAGTTATAATGTGGTTGAAAAAATGTGTATGCCTCCCCAAATGACTTTGTTTTAGTTAGGAATCACCTCTTCATCTCAGTTCTCTGACTCATGACTTACGTTTTCTCTCCTTGCAGTATCTGGGGTGCATTGAAGTTCTTCGTTCAATGAGGTCACTTGACTTCAGTACAAGGACACAAATTACCAGGTAAGCCCTCTTGAAAATGGACTCCTGTGATTTTACTTGAGAAAGGAATGATAATTCTGAGGTAAACCACTAGAAATTTCCAGAGGGAAAGTCTGCCCCTTGAGTGCTGGTGACCAGTGACAGGGAGTCAGGACCCACTGTCTCAAGCCTCCCGAGTGTTCATCTATGTTTGTGACATGTATGTCTTGACACAGGCCTCCTGAAGAACACGCCTCATTTCCAAACTCTTTTTATAATTAAGTTGCAGACAAATGGAGTGTTTATGTTTGTTTCTTTAATAAATGAAACTCTCAGACCAGACTGATATTTTAAAATCTCTGTTATTTCTTTTTTTAAAAAAACATCAAGATGTCAAGAGAGAATTTCCAGTGGTATACACAGAGAATAAAATTGCACAGAGTTGGAAGTAGAAATGTTAATGGGAGTAATAATTTAGAAAGCAGACTGACTCTTTTAATGTATCAGTGATTTTGAGCAGGTTTATATATTTTAAACCAGATTTTAAACTTCTTGAGGGCCAATTCTGTTTTTAAGCATGTTTTTATAAAATTCATAGCCTAGTAGAGCTTGTACCTTTAGAAAAATGCCAATTTCAAGTCATCTTGAAGAAGAGAACCAGAAAGCTAAAACTGGGTCTGTGAAATAGCTATATTTCAGAAAGCGATGAGCTTTGGCAATAGTGGCATTGTTTAATTTAAACAGTGACCTCAGAAAATGCCTCAGTTTTATCTCATTCAAATTTGTCTATTGGATATCTTTGCATTAGCAAGCCAAAAACTAAAGATTGAGCTTTAGAAAGCAATTATTTGTGGTAATTATCTGCTCAGTAATTTACATACCTCAGTTCTACGTTTTAAGCATCACAATGAAACCTCTTCTTGCTCACTGAAGAAATTCATGTTCAAAAAAAGTTGATGTTCTCCTTCTCTCCCAAGCAACTCAAGACACACTTATTGTGAACATGGTAATAGTCTATACTAAGGGGAGAATCCATCTCCACATATTTGTAGAAAATGGTTTATGGATATTGCCAAGGCAAAAGAATGGTATTTTGAAGTGAGAGCAGTTAGAATAAAAGTTTGAATGTTTAGTCAATCACTCATTCATCCCAGCTGTGAGAAGGCAGTGCTGTGTGTTGGGTGTGTGTGGGCAGAATGCTTAACCACGGACCTAGGGACACTGGAACCCCTGACCCTGGTCACCTTCTCATGAGGGGTGGCAGCTGTTTTGTTTTTTCAACTTCAAAAAACTGAAGTATATTTGATTTACAATGTTGAGTATGGTGCTGTCATTTTTTGAAGAGAATTGTCAACCATTTCTACTGAATTTTCTTTACAGGGCCTAGAACTTCCGAGATAATTTTATGTCATTTTAATTTTTCTGATGTCTTTACTGAGTCTATACCATGGCTCTGCACATGTGCACTGGTCAACTTGAGCTGTCCTGCTTTGCCAGACCTGTTTTGGGGGAGAAAGATGCATATGCAAATAGCCAAGTCCTGCTTTTCAGGAATGGAGGTGGGCAGGGGGGCCAGTAGCAATCCCAGTGTGCCTTTGGATCAAGGTCTGGGCGCTCTTTGGGTGCCAAATGGGCAGATAAAATAATAGTAGTGGTAGAAAAAAGCTGTGGAGCAGACATCCAATTCCATTTCATTTAGATTCTAGCAGACGGGCAGCAATGTAATGGGCCAAGTGAAGTGCCATTCCTTGACTCAGGAAACTTGGTGTTTGTACTCTGATTATATCAGAATTGCCTTGGGTTTATTAAATTTAAAAAATCAATATATTTATTTTAATGGAAATATAGTTGATTTATGATATAATGTTAATTTCTGCTATACTGTATACATATATATATATGTATACATTCTTTTGGATTTATTAGACTTTTTGAAAACTATGTTTGCTTTTCTCTGTGATGCTTTTTGCCTTTGCCTCATTTTTATCATGTGACCTGTTTCATATTTAGTTAAGAGCCAGACAGCACTTGTAGGAAACGGTTTGACAAATCAACATCAGAAAGAAGCCTTCACACCCAGGACGAGAATGCTCAATGGTGTCCTGTGGATGTGGCACAGTTTAAAGCCTGTGTGGCAGCTGAGTGTTAAACACACCTATGATTGAATTCTACCATCTTGGTGTGCTTTATATACTAAAGGCATTCTTGAAAGGTTGTAGGGAAACCTAATGTTGTAGTTAAGTTCTATTGTTGTTGTTATCCCTAAGTCATGACCAACTCTTGCAACCTTATGTATTGTAGCCTGCCAGGCTCCTCTGTCCATGGGAATCTCCAGGCAAGAAGACGGTAGTGCATTGCCATTTCCTTCTCCAGGGGATCTTCCTGGCCCAGGGATTGAACCTGTGTCTCCTGTATTGGCAGGCAGATTTTTTACCATTGAGCCATCTAGGAAGCCCAGCTATATAGTACTATACTGTAAAAGATTTAAAATACTTTTCACACAAATAATATATAAAAAAGCAAGCAAAAATAAGTAAAACATTTTTAATCTTACAGTAAAGTACCTTGAAAAGTACAGTAGTACCCGCTACATCACTGCTGCTGTAATGCTTGCGTCCAGGCATCCTGAACTTGAAATACAAATACTGTATGTACCTCTATACTCTAGACAATACTGTCGTGAAGTACACAAAAGCACAGCCGCTGGTAGAGGATGCACCCATGTGACAGTGTATGCCACGGGTGTGAACTAATGTATGTGATTTGGACATGTGAACCGTGTTCACATCTTAGCAAGTTTGCAACTTGATGGCTCAGCAGTAGAGAATCTGCCTGCAATGCAGGAGATGCAGGAGACCCGAGTTTGATCCCTGGGTTGGGAAGATCACCTGGAGAAGGGCATGGCAACTCGCTCCAGTATTCTTGCTTGGAGAATGGAGAGGAGCCTGGAGGGCTCCAGTCCATAGGGTCACACAGAGTTGGACATGACTGAAGCGACTGAGCGCGCACACACGCACACAACTCGAAGGATCATACGTGGGGACTTACTGTATTTATGAAAGTCTGCTCAGGGGACAGAGACGCTTGACAGATGAAGAAAAAACTTTTGCAGAAGAACTAGCTGGTGATGGACAGGGAAGCATGTTGTGCTGCAGGCCATGGGGTGGCAAAGAGTCGGATACTACTGAGCGACTGAACTGAACCAAACTGAGAACTAGCTTCCCAATGGGCCCCTGTTTCCTGCACATGCGTGGCCTTGAAGAGGGTGACTCCCTTGAGTTCCGACCCCACAATGTGACCCCTGTCAGCACGCCTCCCCACACCTTTATGACTCAGCACTATTAAGTCCATACAGGAGCCCACGGCCGAAGCTGGGCCACTCAAGAGCTTGAGGAAGCTGCTCTCTGTTGCTTCCCCCATTGCCAGCGCCGCCTCATGGTCTGTGAAGCCTGACACCCGCATGGGGAACCACCTTCCTCCTTGCTTGGATTCCACTGTTCTGTGCAGCCCCGGTGGGCCGCGGGGGAGGGTCTCGGCTTGGTGTCCCCCTGGGGAAGGCGGGGGCCTGAAGCAGGGAGGACCCAGCTCCCCAGCTGGAAGTCAGTCAGAGACCTACGCTTTCATCTGCGTTAAGCCACTGGGTCTTCACATGAGGAGACTGTGGCAGGACGCTGGGGGCCACTGCTGTGGCAACCGGCCACTCTGCCCTTGGGGACCACACCATGTGCCTCGTTAGATGGGGTGGGGTGGCCAGGGTGCTTTTGGTCTGACTTGGTGAGCAGCCTGTCAGGCGACCCCGCAGGGTGACAGGAAGTGCCCATGTGCCATGGTCACAGGAAAAGCCAGGCCTTACTTTCTTTCCCCTTCCCATCTGCTAATTTGATTTGCCATGTTAAATTTGATTTACTATTGAATATCACCTTAAGCTGTTTTTAGGGCATGGAAGGCTATAAATATATATGCAGTTAGACCCAGAGGACTCAGCAAGCTGGTCCTTCTCCAACAGTAAGTGTGATGGTCCTGACATGCATTTTTGGTTCTAAATGACCCCAGCTGACCTCCTGCAGTACTTGGATTCATCCAGTAACCATCAAGTTTGCTTTCCACTCAGCCTCACATAGACATATGAACTCTGCATGGCTTTGCTCCACTTTCTGGGTGAGTTCCTGTAAATCTACAAAATGTTGAGCAGAGGACAACACCACACTTGCTTTTTTCAAACTCTAGAGAGAAAACAATTGAATCTAGTTAGGTTTTTCCTCTCCCTTATTTTATTAGCACCATGCTTTAACCAACTGAGCTAACTGGCCACTTTCCCTTATTTTAAAGCTGTCATAGTTTCAGTGGGGCCTGAAGATGCAGGTTTAGTCCAGACCTTGACCAGCACGGCCCATGGACGAGATTGCTCCCTAGCACTCCACTTAACATCCACATGCTGGAGGGTTCTGCTTCAGAGTCCAGGTGTTTTGAAAATTCCCCAGGAACATGTATGAAATCTTTTTGGTTTGAAACCAAACTCAAAATTTGTGTTAAGGACAACATCCTTCTTTGAGGAAGGCATTTCCTTTTGTTCTTTTAAAAAAATATTTATTTTATGTATTTGGCTGCACCAGGTTATAGTTGTGGTATACCAACCACCAACTCTTAGTCGTGGGTGGGATCTAGTTCCCTGACCAGGGATCGAACCCAGTCCCCCTGCATTGGGAACACAGAGTCTTAGCTACTGGACCACAAAGGAAGTCCCTCCTTTTGTCCTGATTCAAACTATCGATGGGGGTCTCTGAAGACTTTTATCACGGATACTAGCATGAGCTGAAGTTCAGAGTCACCTGGCCACAGCTTTCTCACATTACTACAGCCTGAGGGGCAGAGTGTAATGGTCACAGACTCAGCCATGAGCTGGTGAGTCAGACTGAACGTTGTGATGTTGGGATCTTTTATGTCCGATGTTTCCCTCAGGGAGTTTGGTTAGGTGGCAGATGTGTGACTGTGTGGAACTGGTCTGACAGTGCTGGGCACTGTGATGGCTACAGGGCCATGAT